CCTGCTGAGTAGATGCTCAACCTGTGTTTGTTGGAATGAATGATGACTGCAACACTTTATTTATTTATTTATTTTTGCTGAGCACTGTGCTATGTTCTGGGGAGCCAGAAATGAATTGTCCTTTTAAGGAATAGAGTGTAGAAAGAAAAGACCACCAAGCAAAGCAATGGGGAGAAAAGTGCCAAGGATTATCATAGATGATAGAAAAAATGTTCTGTAAAACCAGAGAAAAGGGGCCAGCAAATGGCGTGGGAATTAAGGCACTGGACTCCCACATGGCTGAACGTGGTTCAAATACCAGACCTAATGGCTTGAAAATTACACCAGGCACATGCGTGTGCGTGCCCAAATGCTGAGAGGAGAACAGAGGCGAAGCGATTGTGGCATAGCCATTCCCCTTGGTGGGGGGATGATTTCTCACTTTCCCTCTTACTGTCTTTTTCCAGTTAGTGTACATGTCCTATAGCAAAACAAAACAAAAACCTAACAACAACAACAACAAAAACAGAGAAAATTAAAGAGAATTTTATTCAGTCTCAGTGTGTGGGATGAGGGTGTGGGAATGGTTAAAGGAGGGGATTTCAGGAAATATTCCAAAGAGGAAGTGATGCTTTATTATTATTATGTTGATGGCTAGTAGGAATTCACCTGATTAAACAAGGGATTGATTTCAGATGGGGGAAACTACAGAAGCACAGTGACAAAACCTAGTGAATCTCTGTGTGGTATATGAATACGGGGAGGACTCAAAGCTGGAGGTGTAGAGGTCAAGAGATCAGATTATAAATGGCCTAATATACCACAGTAATGAGCTTGAACCTGATTCATAAAGTGGAGCCAGGAAGGGCACTGAAAAGGGATGTGCCATGCTCTGGTCTGTTTTTGGAGCATTTTCTGACAGTGACATGGAAGTGAGGCAGAAGTGAAGTTAGAAAGACTTGACCTCTTAAAGAGTCGGAAAGAAGTCGAAATAGTGGGGACAGGCTTGTTAGTCTCAGAATGAAGTGGAAGGATTCATGGGATTTTAAGTCAGAGAATTCTGGTTGCCTAGTCCTTAGAGTACAAGATTGTCACAGAATTAGGAGACAGTGCAGTGAGTGGCAGAGTGAGTAATATGGAAGGCTGGGGACTGAGAGTACTTGGCCTCTGTGAGTTTATGGGGATTAGCTGATGACTCTTGCACTCAATTCAGGAAATGACATAAACACGATTTGCGCAATGCATTGAAAAGAATGAGGACTGTGACAGTAAGTACACATGGAGAAAAATATCTAGGAGTTGGAGAGATGGGGGAAAGGAGTCACTACTGAAGGGCCCTATCTGGATTCACTTCGGACTGTCCAAGTAGAAAGCTCTTCAGAGACCAGTGCCCAATCCTGCCCTGGGGCGCACCTCCTCCTCTCGGGCTGCCTTCCTCCAGCCACAGTGCAGACCCCCTCCTGGCATGGGAACTCCGGAGCGAGGGAACCCCAGCAAGCCGAGGCTGAAACTCTGAGAATTTAGTTCTTGGGGGCCATACGGACAGTACTGGGACGACATACTTGAGGATGCGGCCAGAGGAGACAAACGGCTCTCCAAGGTGCCAAGTAGCGGGCCTTTCTTACGCCCGACTTCCTGACTGCAGGCTCCGGGCGCTTTCCACGACCCCACACTGCCTGCGGGGACCCGGAGCTCGGAACTCGCAGAGCGGTGGGGAGCGCAGGGCTGGCTAGGTGCGTAGACACGTCCCTGGCCGCCCAGCCCCCAGCCCCCAGCCCC